TGCCGTCTGGTGACTACGCATCCAAAAGCAGCTCATACACAAACCTGCGTGTAGCACCCCCTCTCCTCTTCATCGCCCTCCCTCAGCTGGATGACTTCATCGTCCTCTTCCTCTTCGTCCAGCTCGCTCTCGGTACTCTCCCCTTTGATGTGAATGCTCCCGCGCTCCTCCTCGCCCTTCACGTGCACACCGAGTCGCTCGGACGAATGTGTGCTATCGTCTGAGCTCTCCTTCTGAAGCCTGATCGGATCAATAACAGGGCAGACTTGAACAAACATGTCCAGGTGTTCACAAAAGCATACATTACATAGATACAGATATCAGTCAGTCAGTAAAAGTTCTTTGTTGTCATAAATATCCCACCTGTGAAGGCCCACCCCTATGTCATCCTCCTGCATGTCATTGGTCTCTGTTAGCTCCTCCTCTGTCTCCTCTGGGTGGGTGGGTGGTGGCCTGGGAAGCTCCGCCCCCTTTGAAAGCATCTAAACACACAAGTTCATGTTAGCATGCGGTCATGTGTAGGCTAATTAGTCTAAACTAACTGCGTGTGAACCTGCGTACCTTGTAGTGTTTCTCCAGGAAGTGCTGGTGTTGCTGCTGGACCACCAGCTGCTGCAGGGCCTGGGGCGACTGGGGCAAAGGTGCACTCTGGGTCCGAGCCAGTGGTCGGTGGCGAGGCAGCTTGTTGACCGCCCGCATGCCACTGGACACGCCTCTCTCCGCCGTAACCAGCGGCGACTGGCTGTACATGGGGACTGAATGGGTGGAGGATCGAAACAGAGAGACAATGAGCTCGATGCTCAGGTGGACATCATGACTTTTAGAGCATGTGTGTGTGTTTGTAGCACCTAGCATAGCAGTCTGTTGTCTGGCCTGCTCCAGCAGTAGTACATGCTGCAGTAACGAGGAATGGGCTGAGTGAGAGCTGGGGGGTGGAGTCTCCACATCATGTCCTACGCCTGCAAAGACACATTGTTATATCCCTAATTAGTCTAAATTACTGAACCAGTTAGTAGAAATTCCTTCTTTTATTTTCCCCATACCAAAAACTTACATCGCACCACACTTTGTAATATACTATATACGGTTTTAATGTCATAAAAATGCAGAATAATTTATTAAATTCTGTGCTAAGTGTTTACCTGCAGGTAGGGAAGATGTGGAGAGAAACTTCCCTGTTAGAGCCCCGCCCCCTCGCAACGATTGGATGGCTTGACGCTCGGCCTCTTGCTGACTGGACAGCTTCTGTGGGGTCTGCAGGGGGGGGAACAACGGTTACCACATAACACGGTCGGCACAACAGCGGACAGCATCTTGTTAGAAATAATGGCAGCTGTGTATAATTCAATTGGACGTGTTTTACGTCTTGTTCGGGTGTTCTAAAAACTTTCGCACAAAAAATCCCCTTTTTTAATAATTCATGCATGAGAGCACTTGGACTAAAAAGCTCCAAGCTGCGGCATAAGAACAACGCTGCTCCTTGTTTCTGCGTCTTTCGTATGAATCATCAGCTGGGGAGGACACTGACTTCTTTCCAACTCGCAGGTCTTTAAGGATCTGCTGCTCAAGTCTCGGTGCCAGATACCACAGGGCACCTTCAGAGGTCTTGTGGACTCCGCGTCTTGGCACGTCTGAGCTGTTTTGATGGCACGCGGAGGACCAACAGCGTATTACGCAGGTGTGGTCCTAATGCTTTAGCTCATCGGTGAACGCACACGTCCCTGTGTGAACCCGTCATTTCAAAAACTGCTTCAAATTTTGAGCTTTTCTGCAAGTCTGCTGGAATAAAATATGTTGTTGGCTTAGCTAACAGTCAATTGCCCTGTCCACTGAGCCACAAAAAGAAAAAAAATAGTAAACCTCGCTACTGGAACTTCACACAAAAACAGTTCTCTGGGGGGGCTGGTGTTGTGTATGTCCAGCATGCATTCATGTGCCCCGAGATGCACTTGTGAATGTATGTTGCATGGACCTACCGTGATGTGTGTGTTGGCAGGAAGTCCCAGGGAAATATTCGGCAGGGAGGGTGAGGTGTAGAGACTCAGAGGACTCAATGTCCCATCAGCTCCCAACGTCTGATGCAGAGATCTCAGCTGCAGACAGACAGACAGTTTAAATTTCTTGCTCCGTGGAGTCTTCGCAGTAGCCGAAAGGGGGATCGGAGGTTCAGACAACAAACTAAAATCGTCCAGCTGTTTCATCCCACTTCAGGTTTACACAACACTTCAGATATCAGTCCTCATAAATGTGAAAAGCTAAACAGCACATAGTGGGATAAATGATAAGGCTCGGGAGCCAGCATTTTTTGCTTATTCCTGTCGGTGTAAACACGCCATTTCCCAGAAATTATGTTTCTGTGCGGCGATTACAAAAACAGGAAACCTTCACAACATTTGTTCCGCGATCGCTCAAATTCAACAAACAAGACTGTTGTAAGTCTGGAAGGTCACCATTTCCCCGCTGCACATGACTCCTCGCAGCCTTCTAAAAAAAACATTGACGCAGCGGTGCCCAGTGTTGTGTCAGTATTTAACACCACCCAAATCGAACTGGACTAGATAAATTCTTGCTAGCCTTAAAACTGTCAGTTTAATCTATGGTCCTGAAAAAAACTGACTTCTCAATTTGATTTCTCAATAAAGCACACATTGATACACAAATCAATGATTAAGATGAGAGATATTTTGCTTCATTCTGAGTATAAACACATTTTAGCGTTGACAGTAAATACTGAAAGCTTTCCCGCACTGATAAAGTTGCTGCAACAGTATTTGTGGACATCTTTTCCAGGCAAGCAGCTGTTTCCAGCAGCTGGACTGTCGTGAACAACACTGAACAAGTTACTCTATCACGTAGATCAGGTATGAGAGTCACTTTACTATTAAACCACTGTAAAGAGATTCACAACATTATTGGTTGTTTAGTGTGGAGGGCTGCAGCTCGTTCGCTGTGTTTAACACTTTGTGTTTTTCCAGGCCAATTGTTGAGTTTTGCTTGGAGTCATAATTTTTAACTACAGTCGTGACTCGATACTCCGACACTAAATGTAAAACCTTCTTTTATGTCGGATAGCAAGGCTGTCGGATTGTCAAGATGGAGGTCGAGATACAAGGAGGGCTTAATGCTGGAAGGCTCATTTGTTGTTAATAATTATTGTTTATAGCTGTCAAAATAACTAGTAGGGCTGGTCCAATTAATGGCCCAATTAATGATGAATATCCGAATATTCAGGGGAAACTTCCACCCCGGGGGAGCACTCCGACAGGGTGGAAGTGGCCAGAACATACAGGCAGTACTTGGCTGCTGATGCTAGCTTAGTTAGTGGTCACAGTTTTGTTTCCACCACCGTTACCATCTGTATTTACGTCTGCAAACACTGAGAACGCTCGCTGCGTGTGACGTCGTCGTGTCCTCTTCTGCGCATGCGGGACACTTTTGGGTCGTATGAAGTTCACACAGCAGATCACATACAAGTCGCATTTAATTGGAAATGTGAACAAACTTGCAAAAAAATGGGATTTCACAAAAAAATCCGAAATGAGCGTTAAGTCCTACAGTCTGAACGTAGCCAATCTGTGGGATTGTTCAGTCAGATAATACGCCGTTATCCTGATTGGTGACATAAAATGTTACGTCGGAGTCGGAATCCAAGGCTGTCGGTATGTTAAGGCTGTTTTCTATGAGTTCCGTTCATTTTTCCTAAAAACCTGTCGGATAGCAAGTTTTAGGATTGTTAAGGGTCAGATTATGGAGTCACGACTGTATTTAATTCATAATTCAGTAACCTTGTGTTCTTCAAATTCCTCGTGTAAACAAGCAGATTTTGTGACAAACATTTACTGTCACCGGTTTGAAACATCCACAATATGTCAGTCATTTAACGATTAATCTGTTATTAATTGTTAACACGGTTGACTATCAGTTAAGGAATCAAATGCACCAATAGATATGAGTTGCAGTGTACTCCAAGGCTCCATTGTGCATTATACACTACATGCTTCCACTGGACTTCTTCTTTTTTTGTTGTTGGGAAACTGCATTCCTTACTATCATGAGGCTGACCACATACAGACATATTTCTCCTTAAAACTGAGCAAAACATCTAATCTTCAGTCACACAGGGATGTCAAATGCAGGATGGACAGCCTAATGAGCGTAAAACCAAAATCGTCCTCATCTGTCCTGCATATTCCACTTGTGGTTCAGGCGGTTTTCGTGGGCCTCTGTTTTCCAATATTTGTACACATGCAAAGAAATCTGTGTGTCAGTTTTGATTCTCTTTTCAAATTTGACAAACAAAGAAGACTCTATTATTATTACGAGTTGGGTTTTTGTTTTTTTTCTCCCTCACATTCGGTCTATTGTTAAAACGGCAGCGGCCCTGGTAGCGCAACAAACTATAAATAAAACGCGTACAATCTCACAACATGTGCACCGCATTTAGAAAAGGCAGCAGCGGTAAAGTCAGAAACCCCAAATATAGACGTGCTTCATCAATGCAGGCGGCACAATCGAACACAGAAATAAACACAACTAAATACAGAAACGCGGCAAAACACGAGCGAATGCAAAAAAAATCCTGCAAGCTACACGAGACCCAGTCAGTTGGTCCTCACTGTTTTCTCACCGTTACATGTTCCCCCCGTCGAGCTCCAGAGGTGACCAAGCGTTTCCATGGCTGTTCCCACACAGTGGAACAGTTTACTGACAGGTCTCTCCCATCAATCATCACTTCTAAACCTCTTTTTATAGAACTGGCTTGATGCCTCGTTAATTACCAGCAGAGCTAAGAAACTGATTAAATGTTGCCCGTTGCAGTGATTTACCTTCTTATTATTGTTAAGTTTTTGTTGACTTTAAGACACTTAAATCCACACTTCACGCCTTTAAAGTTCATATAGAAACCGACTTGACCCACAGTGAACTGCAGGGGGCAAGCTCAAGCTGCGTGTTCAGCCTGAGGAAATGAAACCAGCTTATGTCCTATATGGTCAGCGTCTATTTTAATGTAGGTTCGTGTACCTCGGTCTGTATATTGGGGACTGATCCTGTGTTGCCATTGGCGATAGCTGTATTGGAACTGTTGGGACTGCTGGGACCTGAACCCGGAGCGCTGTTGCAGAGAGACGAAACTGGTCGAAGGACACGAGCACAGACAGAAAAAAGGAGGTTAAGTCACATGAATTCGCATTATTAAAGAAAACTGACTTCACACATTATGACTGAAAAGCTGCCCGTCTGCGCTCACCTGATATCTCTATGGCTCTCTTCTTAAAGGTGCTGATGACAGTTCCGTCCTTCCTGCGGAGGAGAGGGGAGCTCCGCCTCTCGGCCACCTTCTGCTTCAACCGCGAACGCACCTTCAGGTTGGGCTCTGAGACTGGATGAGAGACCCGGGGAGAAAGCGTTGGTGTCTACAGGAACCTTACAGTGTCTATTCAGAATAAAGATCAAACGAGTTTATGTGGACTGCTGATCTTGCCTTTTTCAGTTTTAATTTTTTTGTAGTCGTTTTCTATCTTGCATTAAATGTTCCACTGTGAGTCTCTTGGTAAAGTGCAGTGTTTTGCTTGGCAGGAGATATTGGCAGGGGTATTTTAGGGCACCTGGTGATTTACCAACAGGAGGCTCCCCGGGCGGATGCAGAAGCGCAGGCAGGCCGTCTGCTAATCCTACATTACACTATGGCTGGCCAGTTTGTCGGTAAATGAGCGGTGACGTCGGGAGTATTTTAAGCTACCTTTGGTCTAAATGTCAAGGTGAAGAGGACGGAGCAGGAAGCGGAAAAAAATATCCAGGTTTTACTGGTTCCAGCTGCCCAAACAGTACCTGGATCCAGGAAAACTTTGGATGTTTTGTCGCCGGTTACCCAGTGGCATCAGGACAGCCGGTGACAGATCTGACTGACCTGCTGTGCTATGAATCCATCTACTTTTGTTAACCTGTGCAACTCTGGATACACTATCTCACGACATATATTTACAAAGCACTGTTAATGTTTATACTGGTTGGATAATTACTGGGATAATTAGAGAACTACAGACTTAAATGGGGTCAAATGAGGTCTGACTGATTTGCATAGGTGCTGTTGAAGAAGACCTGCACTGGGCATGTCTACAAAGCAGTGGAGCTCAAAAGAAACTGTAGTGCTGACTAGAAAGAAGGAAACTTTTAGCTCTTGGAAGGCTTTGCCACGTGTGAAGAAACTTTACTTTATAACCCGATGTTGCCAGCTCAAGAGGAGGTCGGTGTTTGACAAAGTTATGAAAAGGAAAACGTTTAGATTTCTGATTAGATGCAAACCAATTTGATGGAAAGTCAGGAAAATACCTACACAAGAAGGAGGCCTTTCCAGCTCTAAGATATCAATACTGTATAACAATCGGGTTTTATTCCAGTGGCCAAAATGACCACAAGTGGTACGCAGGGTCTGTGGGGTACCAGGTTATGATAAAGACAAGACATCAAGTGTGTAGCGTGGCTGCTGATCCTTGACTTTATCAGGCTAACGTTAGCAGTTCTGTCCTGCTCCTTTATGAGATTTAGGGAATTTTAACCACAGTCAACATTCTCTGAGATAGTGCACCAAACACATCTGTAACTTGCCATTCTGAAAGATTTTGCTCTTTTGATGCAAAAAGAAGTAAATAACCAACGCCATTATGTAGGTTTCATCACAGATTTTTCACTGAAGCCACTTGGCTCCACATGAATGCTGCTCCTTTATTATCATATCTTCTTGCGCTTGAACGTCAGTCGGCGAAGATGCTGACTTTCCGCAGATATGTATCATTAGCCTCAGGCGTACAGCGTGTTATGTATGTAGCAATCATTTGCATATTTAAGACAAGTTAACATGAGCCAGCTGGGAACATTAAAAAGTCTGCGAGCTGATGTGATGTTAATAGGCCAGCTGTTAAAGTGTTCCAGAAATGAGAAGCCTGCTTTTGTCTACCCCTGTGTGAAATCAAGCACCCCCATCAGTCAAGCGTCTATCTACATTTCGCAGAATCTTCCAGAAAATCTGCAGAAGAAAGAGTGGAGGTGTGGGACTGAGGTCATGTAACCCTTGAACTTCACATAGTTTCCACCATCTAGACTGTCTCGGACTGTCGTAGGTGTTTTTGGGGGGTATTTTGGGGCACTGCTGGGTAAACAGTCTAACTGGAAATACATACACACTATCCAGGAGCTTCTACTTGTCTAGCCAGCTATGTATCAGTTATTTTTTTCCCACAGATTGGTTGTGCTCGTAGCTTACTAGCTGGAACATCGGCTTTAACTTGCTGATGAAGTTTGGTACCCAGATCCCTCAGAATACTGGTTACAGCCAAATAACTCATCGAAAACAAACTTAATTCATATTTTAAAATAAGAAGAACTCAATATGATGGAAAACATGTTTAAGGAAAGTGACTTTTTGTAATCCGGCGTTTTTGAGCTACACCGAAATTGACCACCAGGGGGCGATCAAGATATTTTGGCTTCACTTCTGAGAAGCCATCATGAACATCTGTCTGAACAAACTGTGATAAACAGCTGGACTTTTTGCAGTATTTCAACTTGACGTTTACATTAGAATTTTGTGCAGAAATCGTAAATCTATACGTGAATAGAAATGCACTTACAGTCAGCTCACTACATCTGACTTTAAAACTAAAATACATATTTCTATGTACGTTAAAGTAATTTAGATTTTTTTTTTAGCAGTGGATTTGTGCATTATAAAAGCATTTTGTACCTGCACCTGCTAATGAGCTATCACACTATGAGTAAGCGTCCTAACATGCTAATTCCACAACAGGAAAGACCGGATGTTCTCTCCAGTTAGTTTAAAGAAAAAAAAAAAACACTGTAATCTCTGTTAACTGCATATATTCCATGTGAAAACGTCAAGTTTGACAGACATAACAACAGTAACTAAGGCGGATGGGATTTAAAACGGACAGAACCAGTTCCACGCCCCTGATCTGTCACCTCTCAAGTCAAAAGAAAAACTTTCACATGGTGTCGGATGTATTTGAAATCCTCTGTGTGTGTGTGTGTGTGTGTTTGTGTGTGTGTGTGTTATCTCTAGGTTTGGACAACCTCTTCCCCGATGAGTCACACTGAGTCATCAAGCACACACATCCAGAGACACACACACACGTATATGTCTAAATATATATATAAACACAACACTCCACCTTCGCACAGTCCTTCGTCAAACGATTACACCGCAAGTGACAAATCACACACACACACACACACACACACACACACACACACACACAGACACACACACATCCTCCCACTGTCTGGGTCTGCCTCAGTCTGTGTCTCCTACCCGTCTTGCGAAGTGGGAAGTCGTCTTTGCCCTCGTAGTTCCCCAGCAGTGGGGGCAGTTTATAGGAGGGAGGAGTTCCTGGGGTGTTACTCTGCGGAGGAGAGCTCTGCTCCAGGGAGGTGTGCTGGGCTCCCCTGCAGAAACACACACACAAGGAAAAGGCATATTAGATAACTGCTCACAATAATAAGGGATGAAGTGTTGCATTACAGCTGGCATGCCCAGTGTACTTCTACTTCATTTAGCCATTTCCTATGTTTCCTAGAATGCATTTCTGCCATTGATTTGGGTTGAGGTAAAAGCTTCTGACGCTACAACCTGAGCTTTTCTTTAGTTGTTTGAGATCAGGGAAACATTTCTAGCTGCTGTTGGGCGTGCTCAGTTTAACCGGACACAGCAGGGAACGCATTATATCCACGTGTCTGTTCAAGTGACAGTTTATGGTCATTCAGACATAGGTGTGTGATATGCAAATACGTGTTAGGGCGACGTGTTGGAAGTGTTATAGCAATATTACTAAGAGACACAGGTGCTTATCCACATATCACGGAAAAAAATTGCCATCACGTTCACATAATGAGAGGTTTATGACTGATCAGAAAAAAAAGAGCGACCGACTGAAAATATAAAACGAGCCTATTAAAAGATAGACGAAAACCGAATTATCTGTCAGGGTGACATTTTGCAGGATGTAAAGGAGAGAACAAGCTTTATTTATCTCCTTCCCGCAGTGGGGAAAACGCAACTGTGGGAAAGCAAGGGCTCCGTTAGAACGAGCGATTCCAGCAGCAATAAATCAAACTTTGATTGCTGTCATAGTGCCTCATTAAGATAATGCGCTTGACTGAAGGATCCTCGGCGAGAGCAGACTCAACTTTTATTTTGAACACCCCAGACTGGATGTCATCTACCACAGTCAAGAACAGCTCACGTTAATTACAGGTACGGGCCTTTTTGTGAAACTTCAGTGGAACTACAGTATTTGAGAGGCGTGGTCGTGTTGTACACGGAGAATTATTTACCAAGACAAGAGACAAAAAGCTAAAGACTCTCCTCTCTTCATTGAGAGGCGAACTCCAGCCCACAGATGGTTTTTCAGCATCACTGCTGTAACGCTGCACCATACATGCACTGTTTACAGCTGAGTCACATTACCTCAGTAAGTTACCTAAGCAGGCTGGCCAGCGTTTACTCTATTACATAAATGGCATACTGTAAACATGAAACTAAGCTATTTATTAATTTTGGTGTCGTGCTCCTTCCTATATATATATATAACCTTGGTAAACACACCGAACACTGACAGTCCCCCTCTGAAGCCAGAACTCTCTGAAGGTGTCCAATGGTATCAAGCATCAAGACAGATCCTTTAAATCCTGGAAGTTGCAAAGCGATGCCTCCGTGGATCTGATTTGTTTTTCCAGCACATCCCACAGATGCTCAATCGGACTGGGATCTGGGGGGATTTGAAGGCCGAGCCAACACCCTGAAGTCTTTGTGACTCTCGCTGAGAGAAGCCATCAGAGAATACTGTTGCCATCGAGTGGTGTATATGGTCTGCAGCGATGTTGAGGTGGGTGTGATGTGTCAGAGCAACAGCCACGTGAGTGCAGAACCCGAGGTTTCCCAGCAGAACGTCATCCAGAGCATCACACTGCCTCCACCAGCTTGCCTTCTTCCCGTCCTGCTGTCACCTCTTTCTCGGTTAAACAATGCACAGGCTGTCCACGTGATGTAAACGACAAATGTGTGTTCTTTTTCTATCCTAGAAGCATGACGGTTTTCAGCAGATAATTGCTACAGATGCTCCTCTACGGGATCTGCCTACCAGTTGTCCTTCCTTGAATTACTTTTGGTATATACTAACCACTGCATCATACCAGAAACACCTCACGAGATCTGTCATTTGGAGATCCTCTGACACAGTCATGAAACGCTGCCCAAGTTTCCTACATCAACTTCAAAAAACTGACTGTTCCCTCGCAGCCTTTATATATATCCCTTTGACAGGTGTTGTGACAAGATAATCAATGTTACTCACTTCACGTGTTTGTGGTTGCAGCGTTGGTTGATATAGCTGACCTTCGTGTGTTTACTTGTACACTTAAAGCCTACACACAAAAAAAGTGGTGCAACTTTCTGCAAATCACTGTTTACCCTTGTCTAAATCTCCAAACTGCAGCTGTCAGGAAAACAACACGTCATCATAAAGCCTACTGCGCAGACTATGCAGATTAAAGTATCCTAAAACAGCAACATCACACTGCATCTGTCTCCTTGCCGTGTTAAGTGTACGGAGCTTCCCGAGCCCTAATCTGAGGGCGGAGTGTTTTGAGTCTTACATTAATTTTCAGAGTTGGGCACGTTAAGGACATGTCATGTAAAGGCCAAGTAATTCTAGTTTGGAAACCTAATTAAACACTCTCAGGCCATCCATGTGTCAGGAAGAAATATTTTCACAAAATGCAAAAACCAACATAGAAACAGGTTTCCTCTGTGTAATCCTCACCAGCACTTTGGGGAGAAGGAATGGTTGAGTCCACCGGGACCAGGCTCTTTCTTGCTGAGAAGGAACTCCTGCAGCTTTAGCTTTACCTCGGTGCTGGCAATGGCACCTTTAAAAACACAGACGGCAATCAGGACATGTCACTGTTTGTACATCAACAGCTGGTAGACACAGAGCAGCATGTGCGTAGCAGGCAGGCAGCACTAGCAGGGGTGTAACCTACTCTCTTTGCCTTTCTCCTTGTTCCTCAGCAGCAGCAGTTGTTGCTCCAGTCGCTGTTTCTCCTGTTCTTCGTGTCTTTGTTGCTCCAGTTTCCTCTTCTGCTCCAGCTCCTGCTGCCGCTTTGCTGCCAGCAGCTCCTGTTGTTGCTTACACACACACACATGTATTTCCATACACAGGTTACTGAGTGACTCCTGGGTTGACTGATCAACCGACAAAGCAGAGATGGGAGTCAGTGAGGAAGGCTGCCGTGCTGTCATCTCGCCTACCTTTAAATGCTCCTGCAGCTGGACTTCATGCTGTCTTGTTAACACTTCGTGTTTTTTCTGGAACTCTGCGAACAGCAGCTGTTTCTGGAGTTCCTGCTGCTGTTTGAGCAGCACGAGTTCCTGCTGGAGCTGCTGCTCTCTCATGGCTGTGTCCACTGCTGCACCCCCAGACAGAGAGCCCACCCTGGGCTCTGTTCGTAGGTCCACTGGGCCCCCTCCTCCTCCTGGGCCTTCTGCAGGACCCCCACCTGGAAATGAAGCAAATGACAAGGCGTCAGTTCCATTGATCCTGATCGTAGAGCTGTATCTCTGTCTGCTTTTATATTTGTTTTCAGCTGCACAACTGCACTTTTAAGTTCCTGCAATTTTTTTTATAAACTCATGTCATTGTTGATTTTCTTTGCATTATGTTTTCCTAATCATTATCTTTATATTGTTTTCAACCAGCAAAACTAGGCTGAGAAGATTCTCAGCTGAACTGACAAATAACTGGAGGCCAATTAGTCCAACCCTTCTGCATCCAGCCACTCACAGACTAATGGAACCTGCTCAGATTACTCTCTGCGCCTGAAACACCACTAAAACTCCACGACGGCCAATAGAGACCATCTTCTATAAAACCATTCAAAGGCCTGACAAACCTTTGAAAGGGTTTTCAACACAACACAAACCAAACCTTTGTGATGTTTTATCTCCTGACAAGCCTGAACGCTGCTTGACATCCTCTGGCAAAAGGTGATCGGGCCTTTATGGTTCGTGGCCCTAAGTGACGGAATTCTCTGCCAGAGAATCTCAGACTGGCTCTTCTTTCTAAACATTACTGAAAACCCTCTTTCATCAAAAGGTCTGCCTTCAAATGGTGCACCTCCACTGTGGTTATTCTATCTTGTTCTTTTATTTGCTGTTGTTTTTGTCTTGTCGCCTTTATATTTTTAACATCTGCTTTGTGCAGCATTTTGTAGCGTTGCTTTACAAAGTGCCGTCTAAATTAGGTTGTTATTCTCATCTTTAAAGTCGAGGTTACACTTGGAACACACATTCAAACAATGTGAAAGGTGCTGCAGAAAACGATGGTCCAACCAGCTCTTCAAAGAAGCATCCTGCGGCCTTCACATTATCAAAGAACCTGTTAAAGCTAAAATGATGAAAGGTACATAGCCTGCAAACTGATTCAGTCAGTTTCACAGCGAAGCATTAGCTAACACTAGCTACCACCACACATATTGACAGCGGGATTCCACAGACATAGCATAACACTCAAAACCTGCTGCCTACATTACCCACAATGCACCTACAACTCTGTGGCTACACTGAATGTATAACATATGAGGGCCGCTCGTGGAGCTGCTGATGCATTACTACGCCTAAACTGTAATCAATAACAGTGGTGACACCAGGAATGTGAGTTGCGCTCAAGTATGTGTATGCAAACTTGTTATTTTGAGACAAAGGGAGCATTTCATCCTTTCACACAGCAATGGGACATAAAGAGTCTGTCATTTTCTAAATTAAACTACTGGAATACATGAACTGACTACCTCGTGTCAAACAGGACTTCCATTTTGAAGTCTTGATCATCTTGTTGGCATTTACTTGCCTGAAGTTCCCGGCTGACAGTTGCTTAATAACTTTAGTCCGTAGATGTTAACTGAACCGTAACTCTGAACTTGACAAGTTTATTTCCTGGTCCAGAAAACAAACAAGCACCAAAATGAAAGCTCGCCCTCTTGCTTTGCCGCAGCCCGACACTGTAGGTGCGCTGAAGGTGCAGGCAGTGAAAAAAAACATACATTCTGCGACAGCGCCGCACGGCAAACAGTCTGCATACGTTCAGTGTCGTCATGGCGCAGCTCTTGACAGCTTGGTCAGAGATTCTGGTGTGTTATGCTAGCGGTGACTAACGTAGCCTCGAGCAGAGACGAGGAGCAGGCTGCAGAGGTCTGGTAAGCTCACTTCTTTCTAACTCCAAACTCCAAAGGGGTGTTTTTACTATTTCAGACTTGAAGCCTTCGTCCAGAGTTGACTCAAGTGACATCACTCGAGGCAGTTTATCGGCAGCTCCCTCTGAAGCAACAAAAAGGCTTTTACAACTTCTGTCACATACGCACTAGTACTCCCCCTTAGGTAGATCCCTAGTATCACCTAACAGCTCTGATGATTCAGCTTGGTGACGCAGTGCACCTACTAAGCTGAACCCCCTTTTGGAGACATGGAACCCCCCCCTCCCCTCAAGGTCTCCTAGAGGACTCCCTACTCACCACCTTCTCCACCGCCTCCTCTCTGCTCGCTCGCTGTTCCTACTGGGCTCTGCATCCCTGATGGGAGGCTGCTCTTCACCTCCACTACTGCAGGAGGGAGAAAGAGAAAAAAAAAAAAAGAGTGATTGATTAGTCTGGCAAACGATGTCAGGGACACAGCAGATTATTACATCATTCATCGCATACACACAAACACATACGCACACACAGGCAGCTTCCATTTCATTCAGATGAGCGGTGATAGTGTTGTAAAAAAGTGAGGGACACAGCGTCCTGCCGCCTAAAAATAGCCGCAAGTCTAGCATTAGCCTAGCACCGGACAGCACTGACTTGTAGTGTTACCTTGGCATTAGTCTAGCCTATATTGAGCACGGCTAGGCCAAAGGACACTGCGGAATATGATAACATGCGCTATACATATTAATAGGCGCAAATTATCCGAGAAGGTTGCTGTTATTCATAGTAGCGTGGCAGAAACTAAAGCGCCAACAAAAGAAAATAAAGGAAAGCGGACTGCGCGGCCGTCCTCTTTCATTACAGAAATGAGTTTAATAGGAAACATTAAAAACTGTAAACGTTTCCCTCCCCTCCTCTCAATCAGTGACAAGCGCGCCGCCTTGTTCTGCTCTCGGGCTGATCACTATGACAGATTAATATTGATTTCCTGCTCCAGGCACCAGAGTGGCGGTAGCCGACATGTCACCCTGCGAAATGACAGATACGGGGACTCGTCATATTTTCAAGTCCGTCAATAGAACAAGAGCAATAATGTGCAGTGTTTGGGGGAAAATCCCTGCTCTGATTGGCTGGAATTATGTGGTCACCTAGAGGTCAAGGAGGTACATTTGCTTGATTGTGACCCACAAACAGCTTTGGTTCCACTAGCTGCTGTTTAATGGGCATTTTGAGCACGACTATACTTGTTGTTGGTGCAGGACACACAGCGCAGGTTTTTTCACTTCCACAGAGGTGAAGCCTCATTTCTGCAAGTAAAAAAAAAAACAACTTCCTGACTCAGCTGGCTCCATCACACGCTCTCTGTTTGCAGTAATGTATGTTTTCACAGGATTCAGGTATAATCTAAAGACTCAACAGCACTCAGATCGGAAGGTTCCAATCAGCTTAGCCGCCGCAATCAGCTTACACTCATCGTGTGTGTGTGTCTCTAAGAGAGAGAGTGAGTTTGTATGACGCTGTTTGGACTATTTCTTTAGTTTAGCTCTTGGCAGCGCAAAGAGAAAACATGTCAGGAGTCAACAGGTTAACACACGCTGCCTGATATGGGGCAGATAAAGGGAAAGAGAGGGTCTTAACATCCCATTTCCATCAGCAGCTTTCAGAGTGCCCTTGCGCGAGGCATTGACCCTGACCTGCCAGCGTCCTTTGGCGACTACCCTCTCCTGGCCCCTGGTGACCCCTGCTATAGGATCAGGCTACTTCCTGGAAAACGCCACACGCTGCAACGCGCTGAGACGCCAGGATATTTCCTGTCTGCTCGTCACGGAGGAAATTCGATTAGGACTTACCAACCGTGTAGCCTGACCTTTCTGTTTGCTCCGATTGGTCATCTCCCGGCTCTTTGGCACAACCCTTCTGCTTCTGCGGCCCACGAGGGGGGTTGTAAGCTAATCAAACACCAACATCCACATTAAGGCCAAGCCTGTTAGCCCTGTCCTGGAGGATTGTGACTAGTTTGGCCGCAGACTCTGACACAGATAAAGAGAAACACGTACTGCGTCTATAGTAAGCAACAGGGCTGTCTTACTTATTTAAATCCATTCCTAAAGCTCAAATGTTTTCCCCCCTCTCGCACACAAACACACAAAGCAGCAGTCCAATTTCAGGTTTGCTGGTTTGTGACCGTTTAGCGAGCTCAGTGGGTGCTGAAAAGAAAAAGTTGGGGAAAAGCCCGAAAAACTAAGAGCCAGGAATAAACAAGCCCGTGTGTGTGTGTGCATGTGTGTGTGTGTGCATATGTGTGCAGCCACTCACATCTAAATTACCTAAACAAATATTCTGGCGTTTCACTGTGACGCACGTGTCTCCCCTTTCACTACAACACACACACTGTCTGTGCATGTGTGTGTACGTGAGAGACTGGTCTGTGAGTGTGTGTACAACAGTCCGTTTGGCAAGAGAGCAGCATTCCACAGCAGCCAGCGTCTGACGTCAAACCGAAGACATTTATAGTCTGGTAAACACACACACACACACGCGCGCACACACACACACTAACGTACAGTCTGACATAGAGGCGGGGCCGAGGCAACATTTCAGTCAATCATATCAGCCTCGAACTGACTTCTGCTCGCTGCCGTTACACACGGTAATTCATATAGCAGCAGCGGATGCAGTAAAAAAGAATGAAAGGCGGACTGTGCATCCAGTTTGTGAATCGGGATAGAGGTGAACACAGACCGGTGCTTATACCTTGGCTCGTATGCATCACGTTAAATGTAGCACAGAGGACTTAAAATGACACAGATTATGAGATTATATCAAGATCCTGAATGAAGCATGAACACTAGAGTCGGGTTCCCTGTTTGCACCGCTAAGGTCAACGCAGACTCCTGATAGAGCTCTACGATAAACAACACTTCTGTTTTTATTTCCACATCTGCTAATCATTGGTTGAAAGAATAATTCGCTGAGGAACTGCTTGAAACACTCAAAAGTCTCAAAATATTCAAACAAATGTTCGTAAATCTCAATTAATTGAGAAGCCAGAATTGGGAAATGGAAACAACAACGCAGCTACGGTAGCAGAGATGAGCGGCTGTACAGTGGTGATGTTTTAGCATTTAAGCTTTCCATGTTTGTCATCTTAATTTAATGTGTTAGAATACTTATGTTTGCAAACTTGCAATAAAAACAAAGCACAGCTGAGGCTGAGGGGGACGTCACTAGCATCTGTTTGATCATTAACCAAAGTACTGGACCCTTTAAAATTAAATGCATATATTAGTCAACGGGCTGTAAGGTGGCTCGGTGGTTAACACTGTTGCCTGCAAGAAGGTCGCCGGTTCACATCCCGGTGAGAACACCCAGGATCTTTCTGCGTGGAGTCTCCATGTTCTCCCCGAGCAGCGTGGGTTCTCTCCGGGTTCTCCAGCTTCCTCCCACACAGTCCAGAAACAGATTGAGGTTAATTGGTGATTCTAAATTGTCCGTAGGTGTGAATGTGAGTGTGCTTGGTTGTCTGTCTCTAAGTGTAGCCCTGTGATAGACTGGTGACCTGTCCAGGTGAACCTGCCTCCATCATCTATACACCGCTTAATCCTCACTCGGGTCGTGGGGGGCTGGAGTCTATCCCAGCTGACTCAGGGTGAAGGCAGGAGACACCCTGGACAGGTCACCAGTCTATCACAGGGCTACACTTAGAGACAGACAACCAAGCACACTCACATTCACACCTACGGACAATTTAGAATCACCAATTAACCTCAACATGTTTCTGGACTGTTTGAGGAAGCCGGAGAACCTGGAGAGAACACACGCTGCACGGGGAGAACATGCGAACTACACGCAGAAAGATCCCGGGGGTCCTTCAGTTTCAAATTTCATTTGTGTAAAACAGTTTGCAACAATTTAAATCACCGTTCAAGTAATCATTCAACCAATACAGCCAAGACTTCATTGTTTGAAGCTCCTCTAATGTCAACATTTGCAGCTTTTAATCATCTTCTGTCACTTCAAGCTTTGAGAAATTGTATTTTTTCTGATACTTATAAACAAAAATGTTCCACAGACGACCAAAAACATGTAATAAACAGCTTAACATATAATAAAAATGATTAGTTGCAGATACTATGCTTGAAAAAGCCAATGAACCAACGAGATGATCTAAACCACTAAATTAAACCTCCACAATTATGGTTTTATCCACATGTGGTAAAGATGCTGCATGATGCAGCTCATACAAGTCAGTAGCCTGTTTACTCAGTAAAACATTATCTAAAGCCTTCAGCTTCATGAAATAATCCGCACGGACAAAAACAGAAATCCTGCACAACGGCTCAACTGTAAATCAGATGATGAAGATAAGGCTGCGACACTTAATGCACGAACAATTCCAGTTACTCTGGAGTCTCCCACGGGTGAGGTTAAGACTCTTTTTTTTTTTTTTTTTGATTGTACCACTGGAATGCACCTAACTACAAACCACCAACTGGGAATTTCCCACTTCTGCCTTTGACAGGAATACTTAATGTGGCTGATTTGGAGCTACTGTGATGCAGCTCGATATCCAGACGGTCGGAGATGCTACAGCGAGTTCCGGCCAAGATGTGTCGCCGCTAATAAAGACAGAGAACAAACAGGGAGATTGTAGTTTTTAAGTCCAGTTTGATGACTTTTCACTCTTCGTCTCCCTCTGCTTCTGTCGCTCCTGTTTCACATTGCTGCTGCTGCCACTGCTGCTGCTGCTGGGAGGTATTTCTGGAAACCAATATTCGTTTTTTTTTTTTTTTCTTTCCTCTATCTCTCTCCCTCTCTCCCTGTCTTGTTCGTTCTGCATTGCTAAAAGAAAATAGGCACCATGACGTCAGCCCTGCAAAACACTCTAAAAAAAGCCAGGAGACAGGGAGACAGAGAGAGAGAAAGAAAAGACAGAGCAAGAGGGAGAGTGAGGTAAAAATAGTATAATGGCTGTGTGTGCTTTAGACAAATTAGAAGCTTAGAGAGAGAGAGAGGAGTCACATGTGTGGTGTTGCTATAGAGACTGAGGGGTGGGCCAAGTATTATGGGCTGGCAGACTGTAGGTCATCCACAGTAGATGTTGTCCGTTGTGTTCCATCAGGCTTAAAGTCTTTGACAACATCTGGTTCGATCAATTGCGCGGCAGGTAAACGCGGTTTTAAAGCTGCATTGATCACATTTAAAATGAGTCTAATGTGTGATGTGGAGGGGATCCGTCACAGTGACAAAACCACAACAAACCCGTCGTCCAACTCTGCAGGTCCCGTCAGCTCTATGGAACGCTTTTAGCAGCCTTTGCAACTTTAATATTTTGGTTTGCTCTCATCTGCGTTGTCTCTGCCAGCAGCAGCAGGCGGAAGTTTTCATAAACTCACAAGCTACCTGCTCAGCACATAGACGAGCTTAGATGTTATCTTGTAGCGTTTTCCATCGGGGTTGACGGAGACAAAACAGACGTAAAAAGACAGCGAATAGTGCATTTACGCATGTTGTTGGACAGAAACTTGACTGAATGAGATGTAGGAGGTAACTTTGCTCATTTCTAGGGCTGGTCCAAATAGCATTTTCTGTTCTCCGGACGCACAGGTAGCATTTGGCTACTGAGACCAGTTTAGGTGTTTAGGTTAGCGGTGGGGTGCTGAGCATTCGGTCCGACGGGGCAGGAGTGGGCGGGCGTTTCTACCATCAGGGGTCACAGTGCTGTATCCGTCGGCAGCAGCGGCGGGGGGGAATATTCGGAGATCAAAATCCCAATTCCAGCACAGTGAACGAATAGTCGGCTACTCGGCTATTTGGGTCCAGCCCTACTCGTTTTAATCACAGTTACTTAGATTAGTTGGCAAGGTATTTTCATAATCAACCAGTAGGTTCTCTTCTCCATATATATCACATTTTTGTTCTGATTGGTTCATTGCATTCATGAACCCTAAACGTGTGGATCAATGTCTTTTGAGGACATGGTGTCGAAGTTCTAAGCACGCATATACACCGACTTGTATCCGCCAACCCAGTAACCGCAGCCAAAGAGAAGATTAGAGCGAATGTACGTCCTTTTTGTACCAACTAACAACCCGCTGGCATCAAGAGGTGGCATCAAGCCACGCACCAACCTTAGCTCACCTCGCTCTGGCAGCCGCGTTCTTCAGCAAACTGTCTTGTACCTAAACCTCAACCAACGCAAGCAGCCATGTTCTCTACTCAGAGCACTGAATCTCTCTGATCGCACGCTGCATGCGTTTCAACGGCTTGCGAAAAGTTTCTAAAGCATCGGTCGTCTGTTAGCTTAAGACTACTAATCAGAGGCGATCGACAGAAGTTTGAAGACTTTTGCAGGAGAACACAAATGAATAAAAGTCCCAGAGCTTCAAAACTGTAGAAAAAGAAAATAAAAAACAACAAATACAAACTATACAGAATATTTATGGCTTTTGTTTAGAGCCGTTGGGAGACGTAAACAGAAAGTACAATGCTGCCACTGTGTCAGTTAGTTTTAGGCTTCTGCTCTTGTTTTCACATTTTGGCATTTCTGTACCATTAAAAGCAGGCCGAACTAGTTAGCTACTATTTGCAATGCACCCGTGGACGCACTGACAATCATCACTGGACGCCTTTGATACGGAAGAAAACAGCCGATTGTTCTCCGTAAGCCCTGTAGTTCCAAGAAATGACGTTTATTTTCTATGATTAGTGGGGACAATTATGGATGTTTGTGCCTAACAGACATCAGTGATATCATTGGGAAATTTAAGTCACGCTAAAGCTAAAAAAAAAAAAAGATGTGTCCTTTGTCCTCTGAAGCACAAATTTTGATGCAAATTGCAGCAACCTTAATTTCCTCTACGAGCTCTATCACAGATCCTGCTGCTGCTGCTGCTGCTGCTGCTGCTGACTGTGCTGATAATCGGGACGCGTCAACCAGCCAAACTTCGATAACTAACTTTCCCGATATTTCCACAACACCTGAATGCACCGCGCTCCTTCATCTCACACAGTCTCTTTGCTTTATGTCTCTCCCTCTGCAACCCCACCCCCTTCAAATCTCCCTTTCTCTCTCTCTCTCTCTGACCTACACCCACCATCTACATCCTTACATCCTAATCTACCAACAACACCTCAGAGCTCACCCCCTCCCTCTCGCCTCCGTCAGCTTCCTTCACAAAAACACAAAAATTATTAATCAATTCCATCAAGCCTCATGCGCACTGCGACCCCCCTCCTCCTCCTCCTCCTCCTCCTCCCCACCTCTACCTTCCCAGAGATGACTCACATGCGGTGGGCATGGCAGTGCCGGAGCCCCTGCTGTCACTCAGGAGCTCCAGAGGCTGGTGATGGCTGTCTGTGCTGGCAGAGGAAAAACAGGACTCAGTCTCATAGATGGTCTGCAACATGGCGCACAATCCTGACACCGTGGGATGCAACAGCATGCCAAGACAAGAGCCGGTGCTTTGTTTTGTTATGAAAACACCAGTCAGTTCTTCTTCCGAGACACCGCCATGGCTTAGTTAGGATTTGTGAGCAGCCAAGGACGAGGGGGGGAAAAAAACATTGAAATAAAGAGGATTAAGTGGTTAAACTAAAAAAATAAAAAAAAAAACTTTACTGAATGTTTTTTGTGCTTTTATTGTGAAATGGTCCCTGGAAAAAAAATGACCAGAAATCCCATTAAAAAATAAAAAATAAAAAATCCATAAAGAAGTCCTCTTTGCTTTTATTATGTAATCCACTCCAGCAGTTTGCTTTGCAGGTTGCCTCCACCTCTCCTGGAGCTTCCCCCGTTTTCTGGCTTGATGACCAGTCACCGACACTTCACACAAAATCCTCCTGTTTAATATTGTAAGTCCCAGCTGCAGGTTCCAGGAAGCCTCCCCTCCGCTGGGACCCAGGGAATGAATCGAAACGTACACACCGAAAGGAAACGAGGAAACACAAGCTTCCCAGACTTTGTAATCTGCGACTCTTGTCTACATCACCTGGAGTCCTGATTCACGCAGGAACACTTTGCTTTGCTCCTGAAATAGTGACAGCGGCCGGTGATGTTTCGGGATGTGCCAGTCGGCGCTGACGGACGGAGGAAGAAAGTTTTGTTTCCTCTGGTGCTCTGGACCCTGGCAGAGTCAAAGCAAATCAAAAAAGCAAAATGTGGTCACTTGGTACAGCCTGCAGGACGCTGAGGAGTGACGGCTTCAGGAGAGGAGCTGCTGCAACACAACAAAAACACAGAAGAGACGAAGGAAGGAGCCGAAGAAGTCTCCCGCTCGGGTGCATCAAAGGATCCTCGCACTGTTCTCCTCCTGGCCGACGAGAGGGAGAGGAGAGGAGGAGGAGGAAGAGGAGGAGGAGGAGGAGAGGCGAGGACATAAATAGCTTTGGGAGAGCGCTCCCCGAGGTTCCATGTTTCCAAAATTAGAACGAAGCGCTGAGAGAATGACAGAGAGAGAGAGAGAGAGAGGGAAATGGAAGAAAGGAGGAGAGGAAGGCTGGGCTGGAGAAGAAGAGCAGAGAGTTCAGAATCCTCACAGTAAAAGGGGGAAAAAAAAAAAAAAAAGAACAGCCAGGGATTGCACGCTGTCCTCTTTATCCCCTCGATTCGAAACACACACAAAAACAAAAGGCAAGCTGCTGCAAAGTGGAGCTCCGGTGCGGCGGCCAGTAACAGCTGCCGGTCAGACGACTAATATTCACTGTCTGAGAGTCACTGGGCGAATGTGTGTTCGCGGGTGTGTGTCTCTGACGCTGTTTGAGCTGCTGAATGAACGTCGAGAGAGAGAGAGAGAGAGAGGGAGGGAGGAGGGTAAGAGAGAGAGAGAGAGAGAGAGAGGCTGAAAGTAGATCACTGGGTGGAAAGGAAGTTAGACGGATGAAGAGGAAAGTCAACAACAGCTCGCTTCACGTCGCTGTCACAACGCGCGCGAGGAGGTCGGGAGGCGACAAGGACACTCGTCCAGCCTCCATCCATCCCTCCGTTCACCTTCAAAACCTCGGGCAGAAGAGCAGAGAAGAGAAGCATTTACTAACACAAGAGATGGGGGGTTGATGGAGGGACTTGGAGCTGAAAATAGCCTGCCAGGGTGGAGGAGGAGCCAGGGATAAAAATAGACGGGAAAGAGAGAGAGAGAGAGAGAGGGAGCAGTAAGCCTACAGCTCTGGGTGGGGTGGAGGGGGGTGGGGTTCGGGCGCTTTCATGTTTATTCACTGCACTTCCCAAAGATCGGCTGTCAATCACAGAGTGTGGGCGGAGACTGTGGCCTCCTCTTCCCCCACTGAGCTGGAGCTCCTGTTGGTTGCTACTCGTGAGACCGCCGTGTTCCGTGCGTACGCTTCCCACAACAACAAAAACGCAACTTGTGTCCGCGCCGGGGGGTTTCATTAGCTATGGTTACCGTCGATGATTAGTTAGCGAAATGGCTCAGCGACGGCTGATTGGATTGTCGTGAAATCTTTTCCAGGCCTCCATCGCGTCCAAAGGGATAAATCCTACTGACGCCTGTGATCTCATGAAGTGTCATCCAGCAGCACTCGCAGATCTAACTTCCCACGTGTCCAGTGAAGCATCTCAGCGTTTACTGATTAAATTGGCACCAATTCTTCATAACTTCCTGGAACGCCACCATGAGGTTTTACACTGTATTGACGTGAAAGTTGTTTTGGGGCACACATGTATTCATTTTCCATCTACTGTCATCATGAGGCCAGTTTCCTCTCTTTTGTGCAGAATAAAGAATAGAATTGGCTCAAACTGTACCAAGGGTTTATTTAAAATTAGCAGTGTTAGCATGCTAACGTGCTAAGATGGTGATCGTTGTACGTGCTAAACATTAGCATGTTAGCAATGCCGATACGCGTGTCTGTTTCCAACTTTCACAAAAAACAGGAATGCTAAAAATGACTATTTAAACAACCTGAAATATCGCAATAAAGATGTTACACTTGGTAGGGATTCAATACCACCAACAAGTCAATCTATTTCAACATTAAATCACTTTTAAAAAAATGCACTGAGACAAACACGCACATAATATTTTGACAGAATGAATGACAGTAGCAGTAGCTAGTAACCACTCAGAGCTTCCACCGTTAATACAAATGCAGCACTTCACAAACAACATTTTAAGATCTAAAAATGTTCATAAAGCTAACAACTGGAACTCTCTTACTAAGAATTTTGTATATACGTCAGGATGTTTGTCTTTGAGCTGCTTAGATAAGTCTAAAGTGTTTCCTCCTTTAAATTGAAACGAGACATCGTTTGCAGGTCATCGGATCCAAACGTAAAATCATCATACTCCATCTTTTGGTCCACTGTCTATGGCATCTGTGGTGCTACATATAAGCTAATACCATCACGTCATCTTGTTGCAGTACGTGCAGTACGAAACAGACTTGGCAAACAAATCCTGACATGAAACATCAACTGAAGGGATAAAAAAATAATAATGTCGGAGATAAACAAAACAAAAATAGGGAGACTGAAATGTTAAAATAACCGGCAAGCACACATATACGTGACATTTCCAGTTAAAGTTTGTGCAGCGTGTTTGCATACAATAGCATGCTGACATTTTAACATTTAAATTTTAATTATTCCAACACAAGCAGTTGTCCAAGAACGTTACCTGAAAAAATACACGTTTAAAACAAATGTATTTTTTCAATTCAATTCAAACAGCAAACCATTTTAAACAAAGCGGACTAATCTGAGCAAGCACTCGGTGTCATGACAGTTCTAGCTGAGACCGGCCAAGAAAGAGTCCAGTACATAATCCCCAGCAAAAACCACTAAGTGTTGTTTTAACACTTCTAATGCTTCATCTAACATTTACAAAAAGCAGCATTTTAGAGGTGTGTCGCATCACATAAATGTCAAACAGAATCACGGAAAGGTCGCTTTTGAACCAAAAAGCTGCACTGCTCACTCCGCTGTCAGTGCGGATATTATTAATTGAAAGTGCTGGCTGCTATTTATAGTATTTGTTTGTTCCATTCAGCAGTTCAGTCCTAAGTGAAGCTGTGCTTTAAGAATACTGTTCTAACAGAGTATAATGGGATGCCTCTGACTGCTGGGAAACCCAGAGTGCAAGGATTACGAAAAAAAAAAAAAACAAAGGATCAGAACGAATCGGGCTTTATGTAATCGATGCTAATACATTGTACAGATGTACAGATCCAGTCGATGAGCTCAGGACTATTCTAATTCATGGATTTGTCAGCTTTTCATCTCTGGGCTGACCGTTGTTGTTGCTGCTGTGACGGTTCCTCTTTCCAGAAATGATAATGTTTCTTTGAATCATTTTATCATCACTTACATCCCACCTCCTCCTCATCACCTTCATCTCCCTCCTCATCCTCATCTCCTGTGTAAACAGCTCTGTGTGTCCTCAAGCGGATTTAGGGCTGCCTCGGCATGACTCACAAGCAGACACTAAACACATAGAAATAGAACGAAGCCTAAATGGAGGAAACTAATTTGCGGTGTTCTATATTGTTCGGCGCCGACTCGAGGTGCTGCCTTGCTTTTCTATTATCCAACACTGTGATCATTTATTTAAGACCGGTCCCTTATCCTAAGTCATCCTTTCAAATCCCTCTGGCAGCGAAAAGAGAGAGAGAGAGAGATGCGACTGACCAGGCAACATGTCTGACATCTCAATGGTCTGACATGCTAAACACATCTGCTAAACGTGTGTGTGTGTGTGTGTGTGTGTGTGTGTGTGTGTGTGTGTGTGTGTGTGTGTGTGTGTACTGCAGTAGCTCAGCGGATGACTCATCTCTGCGTTTCTATTTGAGGCGCATCAACCCCTGGAGTCACACTGCTGTCTGTGTGTGTGTGTGTGTGTGTGCGTGCTTGCATGTGTGTGTGTTTGTTAGCGTGAGTGTGTGTGTACTATATCTGTATCCATGACAACCAAATTACAGTCAGTCAGTCAGTCAACCAGTCACTCAGCCCCAAACAAAGCTGTCAAAAAAACACCTAAGGAGCACTTACAGGTGTCTTGACAATTAACACACACGTGCAGCAATGCAGTTAATCAAAGGATCACATTGCGTGTTCCAGTTAAATAGAAGTGAATAGTGGTCTTATATCCACCAGGTGGACCCCTAATGGATGTTAAGGTTGATCCCAAACTGTAAATAAGGAAGTGTTTACAAGCATCAAATCACAAATTTAAAAAAAGAAGAAAAATGATCAAAAGATAACAAAAGCCATTTTTATAAAATGGGTTAAAATCAATCGAGGTCCAGGCATGCTCAAGCTAAATGTCAACATCAGCATGCCAACATATTTACACTGGTATGAAGTGTGTGTCACGGTGTTGGGTTAGAACCCTTTTCGAACAATCGCTACTTAAACACACACCTGAGGACTGTCTGAAACACCGGACAGTCCAATCAGAAAGGAGCACACTGTGGCTGAGTAAATATACTC